ACGCGCTGCAGCCTGCAGCCGAGGAAGCCGGCGGCGGCGGCGAGGAGGGGGAGAGCTTGCTGGGACGCGGCGCCGGCGCCGGCGGTGGCGGGTGAGCGCCGCCAGCGGCAGTCCACTCGAGACGTATATTGCCCAGAGACCCTGCCTTCTGGTATAGCGTTTCAGTTTGTACTGCTTGTACAGTTTGTGTGGCCTGCACAGTGGTAATCGGCATTCGAGTAGTGCAGCATGCAGAGCGGCGGCGGTGGCGCCAGGCAGGCGGGGACACCTCCCCATTAAACACCTTCCGTCCACCTTACTTGCGGTTGGCTCGCCATTCTGCTGTGGTGGGCAGCAGCCCTCTGCATGGCACCATGCCCAGCGAGGCGCTGGGCGAGTGTTCTCCTCCCTGGCCAATATGTGTGAGCTGTGAGCAACCCCGGCGCAATGCCCAAGTCTCGCTTGCGTCCTTTAGAGCCGCTGCCTGAGGACGCAGCCGCTAACTTGCCAGCCCCGGCTTCACAACCCGGCCAAGCAGGCGTGCGGCGCTGCAACCACAGAAGGTGTGTGCAGGGGATCTGCCCCAGGATTCGACACTGGCTGAACAAGGCGTTTAGCGACCCTAAACAGCACAGTGGGGCAGGCAGCCACCAGAGCCCTGGCCACGCTGGAATGGGGGCCTGCATGAGCCTTGCATGGGCCCACTTGCTGGTACTGGGTTTGAATGGCAGCCAAATTTCCTGGAGCAGCCACAGGCAGCAAGGGCAGTGCTTTCTGCTCCTTCCTGCCCCTGTGCACGCTGCTAGCACCAGGTGCAAGAGACGGGGGGGAATTGCGGCAGCGTTCGCATGACCTACCCGACCCACCCTGGCGAGAGTAAAGGCCAGTCGCGGCAAGGTCATCCCAACTTTTTTGGATGCATGTCAACAGCTTGTCAGGCCATGACAAGGGCATGACATCTTGTTGACAAGTCCCATGTCACACAGGACAAGGGAGCAACATGGGGCTTGTCAACAGGGGGGTTTGGAACAGGAGGCTTGTCGACACCATGTCGGGCGTGACATGGTGTCGACAAGCGTCCTATCCAAGGGCAAATGTCAATAAGCTGTTGAAATGGGATCCCTGAAGTGAGCTCCAGGGAATGCTTCAGGCGTTCTCTGCTTCCCAGAAGGCTCCAGGCAGCTTGGGCGCCCAGGCGTGGGACCCCTTGCGCCCTGCTGCCGACCGCAGCACCCCCAGCAGGCGCGCGCCGCACGGGGTTAGCCACACACCCAGCGCCCTTCCGGCACCGTTTCACTTCTTTCCGGCGCATTGAAAGCCAAATGCATGTTTTTGGGCAGTCAAGGGCCCTTGCCTGCCGCTCTGGACGCGGGCCCATTACCGCACACCCCAACCCTAGGTTTTCGCTGGCTCGCTGCCTTGCCGCCGTCTCCCGGAAGCATCCGGAGGTCACAAAAAGACCGGGTGAGCTCAGCGGTGGGCTACCTTGGCCAACTGTCGCCCCCGATTGCTTGGTGGCGGGCCTCACCGAACGCCCGTGTCCGCATTTTGGCGGGTGGGTGCATGCGAGCACGGGGGGAGGATGCTGCCAGGGCAGCGGGGCCAGATGGAAACGGGCGGGCCCTGAGATGGCAACCCCCGCCCCGCCACCCGCTCTTCCGCCTTGCATGTGGAGGAGGTGCAGGGCCTTGTCCCGCACCCCCCCACATGCAGCCTCACCACAATCAGGCAGCCTGAAATCTACACTAGCATGACCTACATCTGCCCGATCCCCCCTTCGCGCAGTCTATTGTGCTACTCCCATCAAACCGCTGTCTCCCTTGGTGGCGGTGGCGGGGCGCTGCCCCGGGCCGCCACTCCCCACCAGCCCAGCTGCCTCCCTCGCTGTGCACACCACCAGCAAACACCCTCAGCTCGCCCCTTCCCTCCCTCACATATCCCTCTTCCCAATGTGCATTGCCGCCTTTGCATTTGGGTTGGCGGACGGGGCTGGGGGGCGTCTGCGCCCCCCGCCCCCGTTTCCCTCCACCCCCTGCCCCAGTGTTTTCATTTTGCCCCCAGAATGCTGTGTAACCGTGGAACACTGCTGGGAAGGGCAACAAGGGGGGTACATGTGGACAAGGGGTTTACAAGCAGCTTGTTTTCTGCTGTTGACATGGCGCTTGCCGACATGGGCTGACAAGCCCCTTACTACAAGCCCCATGTCGGCAAGCGACATGTTGAGTGATCTTGTTGACAAGGGCTGACAAGGGCCCTTGTTTTTGCCTTGTCTACACCATGTTGACATGGGGCCCAAAAGTTGGGATGGTGTCCCACCTGGATTGGTTGCGGGAACTGCCATGAAGTCAACGACTGCGGCCCTGCTGCGGTTGCTGTGCCGACCCCTCCATCCCACGCAGGTGTGGTCTCAGCTAGCAGCAGCAGCCAGTCAGCTCAGCTACACCATATGCTTGTTGTTCTCGTTTAGGACCCCGGTGGCACATCGCAGCCTCTCTCCCTTTAGCCTCTCTCCCTTTAGCCTAATCGCACCATACCCTAATCGCACCATACCCTACCTGGCTGCTCCTTCCCTCGGGACAGCGAGGCGTATTGCTGTGCCGACGTCAGCGCCGCCGCTGTGATCTGACTGATCTGCATGTCCCTGGACAGTGCCAAAGCAGCACCTCAAGGGTGCCCCGCCTGGCCTGGAGCATGCACCGTTTCACCCCATTCCAATTGCATTCGCTTACGGGGTCAACATAAAGCTATTTTGCAATGCTACATGGCCCGCTGCTGTTCTTCCGCCCGGGGGTCCGGTGCCCAGCCCAGGGGAGCGCCCCAGCCGGCGGCCGCGCGGCCCAAAACACTATATATAATCGGCTCCAGGCCTCTACGGATGGGATTTGCAAATCGTTAGGGTTTGAGGGTGGAACGCCCATCCGGGCGCCAACCACCCCGCGTGCCGTTCCGGGCCCATGATCTCTCTCAAACCTCGATGCATGGCCGAGGGGCCAATTTCGACATGTTCCCTACATCCCAATAGACACTCCAACGGATGGGATTGGCCAAAACTGGCTTGACACGGGACCGAGGGCGTTTCGCCCGGCCACTGGCAAACGCGGGCCCTGCTCAGCTGCTGGCCTGCTGCTGCCTTTCTGGGCTTGACTATGAGTAATAAATGAATGTATTGGCCAGCGGAATGAGGCGGGGGAGGCTGATCCAGGGTGCGAATGAGCCCCTGCTGGTCAGTCATGTGAAGCCAGGCGGCGGTGCGGCCATGCAGGGGCTGGCGCTCCTGCGGGTTACGTGGGACACAGCGGGCGTTACATCGGGGCGTGGTGATGCTGAGAAGCGCTGTGCCGCCGCAGACGGCCAGGCTCCCCAGCCCTCACGGCATGCAGGTGCTGGCCTGCTAGCCTGAAGCACTCCCAGGGTTCAGCTTTGGCTGTCAACGCAGACCAAAGATCTGGGCAACCTACTTCATTCACCCCCCGTGGTGTGCGCTGAGCAACACGTGGCGCGTTGCTGTAGAAGTGGATAATCTGCTAGAACGTCTGCTAGAACGTTTTGCTAAAGCAGGAGCGTTATCCTAAAAGCAGTGCGTTGCCTTCTGCCGTGGCTACGTCGACCAGATTGATTCATGCTGTGCCCTGCCATGCTGAGGCCTGCCGTGCTGAGGCCTGCCAACTCGTGAGTGCCCAGCCGGCAGCCACCTGCGCCTCCCTTGGCCTCTTCCCGCACGCAGCAAGTGATCTGAGCCCCTCGGCAAACTTAACAGCCACAGCCAAGCGGCGGCGCACCAGCGGCGGGCAGGCGGGCGCGGGCCTCCCTTGCCGGCCCCCCCATGGCGGACGCGCCCCTCCCGACCCCGCACCGCGCCCGCACCGCACTGCTGGCCAACCTGGCTGCGGTGCTGGAGCGGTGCGATGAGCAGATGGTGCCCGCGGTGTACCGCTCCCTGGGCGCCGCCTTCTCCGCCACCCCCACCCAGCTGGGCTATATCGCCCTGAGCAGGGCGCTGGTGCAGGCCCTCACCTCCCCCATCGGCGGCATCGCGGGTGGGCCCGACTCCAGCCTCCCCCTTGCTTGCCCTGTGCTGTGGAACTGGCGGGCGTGTGGGAGCGTCGCACCATCTTCCGCACCCGCCCCGCTGCCCGTCTCAGCCCAACCGCTGCCCCGCCTTCCAACTCCTGCCCACCCCCCCGCCTTGCCCCGCAGGCCACTGCCTGCACCGCGGCCGCGTGGTGGGCTGCGGCTGCCTGCTGTGGAGCGCGTGCACCGCCGCCTTTGCCGCCTGCAACTCGTTGGCGGCGGGGGTTGCCGTGTGGGGCGTCAACGGGCTGGGGCTGGCCTTGGTGCTGCCCAACACACAGGCGCGCCGCGCGGCAGCAGGGCTGTCGTCTGTTGTTCTGTGCCTCGCATATTCATCCACAGTTCAACTCCGCAAAGGAACGTGCGGCACAGAGCCGGCGGGCTGGCGCTTGCGGCCCCATGCGCCCAGCGTGCTTGCCGCCGTGTTTGCTGCATGCCGCCGCGTCATATCCCTGCACAGCCTCATCTGCCACCGTGCCATCCCTTTACCTCCCTTCACCTTCACTCCCAGCTTCATCTTCACCCTACCTTCATTTTCACCTCTACCTTCACCTGCCACCTGGCACCTCCCACCGCCTGCAGAGCCTCACCGCCGACCTCTTCTCCTCGGCGCAGCGCGGCCGCGCCTTTGGCGTGCTGTACCTCACCGCCGCCCTGGGGGGCATGCTGGGGGCGCTGTACGCCACCAACATGAGTGAGGCTGGCTGCCCGCCTGCCTGGCTGCTTGGTGGGGCTGGCTGGCCTGGCTGGCTGGCCAAACGCATGGCCGAATGCCGGGCTGGCTGGCTGAAGGCATGGCTGCCTGGCTGCATGCCTGCCTGCCTGAATGCATGCATGCCTGCTCTGCCTGGCTATGGGTGGTTGGGCTGGCTGGCTGGGTGGGTGCCCGAGAGAGCGAGGCGGGGTCTACCCGCTGTCTCGAGGCGGCTGCGGCCCACCAGGCGGCACAGCCTGCTGCTCGCCCCCGCCTGCAGGCTCGCACAGGCCGCTGGGGCTGGAGGGCTGGCGCTTTGCTTTCCTGTCGCTGGCGGCTGTGAGCGGCGCCGCCGGCGTGGCCAACCTGCTCCTTACAGAGGACCCTCTGTATGAGCGGCGGCGGCGGCGGCAGCGACAGCAGGCCCCCGCTGCCGCCGCCGACGCGCTGGCCGCGGTGGTGGTGGACGGGGAGGCGGCCGCGGCGGGCGGGGAGGCAGGGCCCGACGCGATCGCTGCTGGGAGGGCGGCAGCGGAAGAGGCTGAGCTGGAGGCGGTCGAACGGAGGAGCCCCAGCAGCGACAGGAGCGGCGTGGGCGGCAGGCCGGCTGGCTGGGATGGCGGGGGTAGCCCCGGTGGGCAGCCCGGTGCAGGCAGCTCGCGCGATGGGCCCGACCCTAGACCCCGCCCGTCCAAGGCAGGCTCTCCCTCCGCTCCCGCCTGGCGCCAGCAGCGCGGCGGGTGGCTGCGGACGCCACTGCGGTCGGCCCAGGGGCTGCTGGCGGCTGCGCGGCCGGTGGCCCGGGAGGTGGCCTCGGTACTGCGCATCCCCACCTTCCGAATCATCGTACTGCAGGTGAGCAGCGGTACTGCAGGCCCAGCTGTGGTGCAGCTCAGGTTCAGCTGCTGCCTCGCGCCGCTCCGCTGCCACCTGCCTGTGGCCGGAATGCGGCAGGCCGCGCCGCACTGGACCGTGCAGCGTTGCAGTGCACCCCTGCTCCCCTTTCCGCCACCGCCTCCTCGCCCGTGCCCCCTGCTTTCCTCCCAGCACTTTCTGTCTTTCCTCCCGCGCCGGCTTTCCTCCTGCAGGGCATCATGGGATCCATCCCCTGGTCCGCACTCGTCTTCCTCACCCTCTACTTCCAGCTCCTGGGCATGAGCGACGCGCAGGCATCCGCGCTAGTGGCGCTGTTCCTGGCGGGTGGGCGGGGCGCCCGGGGCGTGCGTGCTGTGCATGTGTGCATGCGTGGATGTGGGGGTGCGTTTTTCCCCTGCGGGCCTATTCCTGGAGGGTGGGCAGGGTGCCTGGTGTCTGGGGCGTGCGTGCTGTGCATGTGCATGTGTGTGCCCCACTTGCATAGGGTACTTGCCTGCCCTGCATATGGCCCTGCTGTTGCCTCCAGCCGCACCGCTCTTGCCCGCCGCTGCCTCCGCTCCCTCCCCCTCGCCGCCGCTCAGGCACCGCGTTTGGCGGGCTGATCGGCGGCTGCGTGGGCGATGCCGCCGCCAAGGCCTACCCCCAGCACGGCAGGATTGCGGTGACGCAGGTGCGCGCCTGCTGCTGGCGGCCTGCCATCCGCAGCAGCAGCACTGGCACGGCGCCCCTTGCAGGCTAGCCACCGCCGCGCCGCCAGCCCACCTCCCCGCCGCCGCCACCGCCGCCTGCAGTTCAGCGTCGGCATCGGCGTCCCCTTTGCCTTCCTGATTTTCAAGGTGCGGCGGAGTGGTGCTTTCCTCAACCTGCCAGCCTGCCATGCCTGCATACTGCATCATCCACCCCCGGCCAGAAGCAGGCCTCCCCGCTGCCCTTGAGCAGGTCGCCGATGGCAGCTGGCTCTCTCCCTGCCCCTGCCCCCGCTCCCCCAACCGGCGTGCAGGGCCTGCCCCGCAGCGGCGGCAGCGGCAACGTGGCGCTCTATGCCGCCGTGCTGCTTGTCTTTGCCCTGCTCAAGGCCTGGCCCGCGCCCGCCTGCAACAACCCCATGTTTGCAGGCGAGTGTCTGCCCTGCGCAGGCGGGTGGTCCTGCTGCGCTGCCCGCCGCGCTCGCTGCATTCGCTGGCTCTGCATGCAGCCATGGCAGAGCCGCCTCCCTCCCTTGCCCCCGGCCCCTGTCATGCAGAGATCGTGCCGCCGCACCAGCGCAACCTCGTGTACGCGTTTGATCGCTGCTTCGAGGGTGCGTGGGCAGCTCAGTGCGTGGGCGGCTCGGCTGCAGCTGGCCCATCTCCTGCTGCTGCCGCTTGCGTCACTCGGGTCTGCGCCAGCCGCAACGCTCAGCTGCCCGATGGCGCCCCCCCACGCCGCCGCCGCTGTGCAGGCGCCATCGCTGCATGTGCCGCCCCGCTGGTGGGCGTACTGGCGGAGCGGATCTTCGGGTTCAGCGGGACGGGCACAGGTGCGGTGTGGGCCTAGCCGGCAGCACCCCGCCCTCCAGAGGCACAGAGCACCGTCAGCAGCAGCTCTGCATCCACGCCGAGCGCCTGCTCTGCCTGCTTGCCTGCCAGCGCGCCAGCCTGGACCCATCTGTGTCACCCAACCCCACACCACCCACGCACGCCTGCCTCGCGCCTGCTCGCATGCCGCTGCCTGCTGCAGTGAGCCAGGACCGGCAGCAGGACCTGGTCAATGCCGCCGCCCTGGGCAACGCGCTGCTGGCCTTCCTGGTGGTGCCCTGGACCCTCACCCTGCTGCTGTACACCGGTGGGTGCGCTGCGGTCACGCTGCGCCACCCTCCTTAGCAGAGCAGCGTGGTGATGTGCGGGCACGTTGCCAGGCCACCCCCCGGCGGTTGTGCTGAGGGTGTGCAGCGTGGCTGCCGGCTGCGCTGATCCAGAGCCGTGGGGGCGCGTCTGGGTGCAGGCCTGCACTGGACATACCCCGCAGACAAGGCTGCAGCGCTGCGGCAGCAGAGCCATGCCCTCAGGTGGGCGCCCGCCCCCTGCCAGGCCTCCCCGCCTCCTGGTGCAGTGCGGGGCAGCTGCCAGCACAAGCAGCACACCTGGGAGTGCTGCCTGGCGAGGGTTCTGTCAGACCGCTGCAAGCTGCATGACCCCTGCCGCCGTTCCCGCAGGGAGTGCTCGCACCCTCTGGAGGAGGAAGGTGGTTCCCGCACGGAGCGCTCGCACCCTCTGGAGGGGGAAGGTGGTTCCCGCAGGGAGCGCTCGCACCCTCTGGAGGAGGAAGGTATGCTGACCGACCGGCTGGGCACCGGCAGCAGCAGCAGCCCGCTCAGCAGCGGCAGCGCGGCCAGCATCGAGCTGCCGCACCACTGCCAGCGCCAGCAGCTGCAGAGGCTGGGCGCGCTGCAGCCTGCAGCCGAGGAAGCCGGCGGCGGCGGCGAGGAGGGGGAGCGCGTCCCGGGGCGCGGCGCCAGTGCCGGCGGTGGCGGGTGAGCGCCGCCAGCGGCCGTCGCCACGTGTCGTATATTGCCACGAGACGCTGGCTACTGATATAGCGTTTCAGTTCGTACTGCTGGTACAGTTAACTGGGTAGACGGCTGACTCCTGTTGGATTGCTGTGGCTGGAGTCGTGTTGGACTCCTGTGCGTACTTGGACTCCTGTGCGTACTGTATAGGTAGGAGTTCAACAGGAGTTCAACAAGATTGTTACAGGATGAGTACAAGATGAGCAAAGGATGAGCACATGAGTTCAACAGGACGAGTACAGGGGAGGCACAGGAGGGGCACAGGGGATGTACAGGACGGCCAGAGGAGGGGCACAACGCTACAACAAAGAACGAGAGCACAACAACATTGTGTGTGTGTGAGCAAGTACAACAGGAGAGAAACCGAAACGGGGGCTGTCCAGTCGCCACAACGCCAGTGCCAGCCTCGCAACGTGCAGTTGGTGGCCTCCGCCAAGCCAGCCATGTGCCATGAATTCATCCATTTTCGAAACAAGGATGGGCTGAATGGTTCTGCAACAAGGGCAGTGGTGCGGGTCACTGGCATTCCAACAAGCTGCTTGCCTCCCTCATGCAAAGGCCGCAATGGATCCTCACTAACATGGGGACAAACTCAGCATCACAATATCAATGCCAGGCTGCAGCCGCCCGCAACAACTCACCTTACGATGCATGCATGTCCGCCGAACGCAGAGCATCCACCCTTGGCAAATGACGAAGTACTCTGCAGCAGCGGGAGAGGGTTGGGGCAGTGTGAGTAGGTGCATGCGGGTGTATACAGCAGCAGCAACATTGGGTCACTGACACACCAAGCAGCATGCGGTATCACATCTTGCAATGGCCTTGATGGGGCCTCGCCGACTGGGGTTTGCTTGTGTGGGCTTAAAGTCTGGTAAAGCAAGAACTAGCTTGCAACATAGACTCCCCGCCGAAACGGGACGGGAACCGGGCGAAAGCAGAGAAAGCAATAAAACAGGGGTGGAGCAAGGCGACATGCAACGCAAGCAGCTGACAGGGCACGCATCGAAACGTGTGTATGACTGGCAAAGTGGCATGGCGCATTGGGGAGAAACGCAACGGTACGGGAGCATGGGCTGGCCAAACGGCAGTGCGGAACGCTAGGTCACTAGAAAAGCAGGGAAAGGCGCACTATGTATGCAATGAGGGCAGCCCCGGCTCGGGGCCGTTGAGAAAGCAGTGGGCGGGAGGGGGGAGGCCCCGGTGTGGGCGGGCCCCATCGAGGGGGGATGGGGCGCGCAAGCGGCCAGATGGGGCGGGGCGCGGGCGGCAGTGGAGTCCTGCGGCTGGGTGGGATATAGGGCAATGAGCGTTGAGCAGCAGTTGTGCGATGAGCAATGAGCAATGAGCAGTGAGCAGCCCCTCCCTAAACAAAGTGAAGCGCAGGACGGGGTCCGGTGGATGGGAGGCAAGGAAACGCGGGGGGTTGCCACGTGCGCTACCGCCGCCGCCGCAGGCAGCACCCCTGCGGCGGCGGCAGCGGCAGCAAGCCGTGGACCCAAACGCCGTGCCGCCGCCGCCGCAGGCAGCACCCCTGCGACGGCGGCGGCAGCAAGCCGTGGACCGAAACTCCGTGCCGCCGAGTCCCGTGGCTGTGGCCGTGGGCTTCTGGCAGGAAACTACGGCCGCAGCTCGGCAGCACGGGGGCGTCGCAGCGTGCCGCCGCCGCCGCGCTGCCCCCCGGGCACGGCGGCGGCGGCAGCAAGCTTGGGCCCAAACGCCGTGCCGCCGAGTCCCGTGGCTGCGACCGTAGACCGTGGGCCGGAAACTGCGGCCGCAGCTCGGCGGCACGTGGTTCTGGTCAAATCGCCAAGCGTGCAGCAGCGCCGAACCACGCTTCCCGGCCTCGGCGCATGCCTTCAGGGGCCCCCTATCGCTGGGCACACCCCTCCAACACCGAACATGCGCCCGGGGGGGAGGGCGGCCCGGGCGGCCCAGGCCAAAGTGGGCCGCCCTCGAGCAAGAGGCGGCCGGGCTGTGTGCTGAATGAATGAATGAATGAATGAATGCCGGGTATGGAAGCGTCAGCCTACGAACCTGAGGCAGGCCTGAGTCTGTGAGATGAACTGCTGGCCTGGTCAGGTGGTTTGCTGCACGCAACGGGGCGCGTGGGAGGTTGGCAGAACATGCAAAGAGGGCAGGGCAAAATGTGCAGCCAGCAGCAGCGCAAAGGTGCAGCCATGCGGTGCAGCTAGGCAGGTGGCTTGACCTCCTGCCGCTGCCCGATTCCTACTGCCCCACACCTGTTGCATTCTTCGACTGAATGGATGCTCTGGCCTTGCCACGGTGCTGCTGCCTGCCAAGCAGCAACCAGCTCAGTCACCGGAGGGCCAATTGGTAAGTGATCACGTGTGCCCCCTGCCCAAGGTATGCTAACGCGGCCTATCATAGCGGGGTGACTGTAACACAACAAGTACGCGATTGTTGATGGAGTCGCAGCAGGCAACTGCAAACAGGGGTATGAAAGGGTGATTGTTGGAACAGCAGCTAGGAGGGGCAGCTAGGGACTGCCCATGTTTATCAACTGACCCTGTTAACCGCGGCTAAGAAAGGCCTTCTTTGAAGGCGCTGGAAAAGGTAAAGGTAAAGGTGGGGAAGAGCCTCCACAGACTTAACTTCCCGGTTTTAACGTCTAGCTTTAGACCATTATTTGATCTGCCCGACGCGCCAAGTGCAGTACCCCCCACTAGTAGTGAATGGGTCCCGGGGAGGCCTGTGCCGAAGCCTTGGCGATAAAGGTAAAGGTAAAGGTAAAGGTGGGGAAGAGCCTCCACAGGCTTAACTTCCCGGTTTTAACGTCTAGCTTTAGACCATTATTTGATATGCCCGACGCGCCAAGTGCAGTACCCCCCACTAGTAGTGAATGGGTCCCGGGGAGGCCTGTGCCGAAGCCTTGGCGATTCTAATAGGCGTTCCCGAAGGAATTGGCTTGGATTGGCGCTGAGCCGGTCA